CTGACCAGCACGGCCGACGTGGAGTTCCGCTGCCCCGAGGGAGACTCCTTCCACAGGAAGATGATGTTCATCAAGGTGTGCTCCTGCCACTACGACTGCCCCCGGGACAACGACATCTTCCTGGCTACCTACCACAGGAGGATGATCGGGGACCACGTCAGGAGCGAGCGGCAATAGCCCCCCCCCCCCCATCCCGGGTCGGATCCGAGGTGTCGGGAGGGATCTGCGGGGCTTTGGTGGCTGTGTCCCAGGACAATGCAGCCTCTGCCCCCTCTGTGAGGGGCTGTGCTCTCCAGAGCAGCACCGTTCACACCAGTGCTCCCAGTGAGCTGAGGTCTGGGGGGGGGAACAGCCCCAGCTGCTCCAGCCCTCTGCCCCCCACCCGTGGTGCTGCACAGGCCAGCGAAGGAACCAGACACAGGCTCGAGCTGCAAACTTGATCCATGTTCCCACTGGCCAGATGGGGGAGTGGATCAAAGTGGCTCCAGCCTGTCTCCAGCCCAGAGCACAGCGGGCACAGTTCCCAATTCAGACCCCAGGAGCTCCTCCAGCACGAACTGGGGGTGGGCCAGGCTGCCAGACCAAAACCTGTCCCCTGTGGGTGCTGCTCTGGGCAGCTTTTAGTGCCCTGGTGAGCATTTCTCAGAACCACAGAATGGTTTGGGTTGGGAGGGATGTTAATGCTCATCTTGTAGCCCAGGTTGCTCCAAGCCCCACCCAACCTGGCCTTGGACACTTCCAGGGATCCAGGGGCAGCCACAGCTTCTCTGGGCAACCTGTGCCAGGGCCTGCCCACCCTCCCAGGGAAGAATTTCTTCCTGATCTTTTCAGAAATGGCCCTGGGGTGGGAGAGAGGCCGGACCCCCCCAGTTCACACACCCACAGTTGTGTTGTGGCTCCAGAGTCTTTGCTCTGGATGTGTGTGAGTAGGAGGAGCACTGTTCATCTCGAGCCTCCCTGGGGAGTTTAAGGCACTGGCAAGAAAAATTCTTGTATTTGTAAATGGAACAGATCCCCTCTGGAGTTACTTAGACAGTGACACAGAGAGCTGTTGGCACTGAGGTCTCCAGTAGGATTCCCACCTGGGCACAGCCCTGACAGAGTCTCTGCCATTAAGGACATCCCATAGCTCCAGGAGAGGCCAGCCCAGGAAGGTGCTGGTGGTGTGTCCAGCAGCTGTGCAGCCCCTGCAGCTCCACAGCTCCATGGAACTGCTGAGCTCTTGTGTAAAAACCTCTGCTGATTTTTTAGCAGAGACATCCAGGTACAGGGCTTGATCCTGTTCATCACATCCCCTGTGCAAATCCCAAGGAATTCCTGTTCCAGCAGGAGCAGCAGCCCCAAGGCTTCACCCCACTACATCTCCCCCCAGAGCAGAGCCTGATGCCAGGGGACAGTCCCAGCTGCCCCCAAATGCTGCCCTGAACCCCCAAACTCCCCTGACACACCAGCTCAGGGCCCGTGTCCCATCCCAGCCCCTCTTCTTACTCTCCCAGCCTGCAGCAGCTCCTGAGCCTTTATGCTCCTGTAATCGATTTGAACTGTAAATAATTTATCTGGTTTTGTTTCTGTTTTTATTTTTAAGGCCCTTGTACAGCTCCTGTATCCCATTGGCACAGCCCTGCTCGTGCCATTCCCCTTCTCTGAGCTTCTCTCCAGCCTTTCCCTCGGCTGCTGAGCCTCCAACCATGCTGAGGTTGCACTTTACTCAAGGCTAATAAATATCTCTTTATTTTTTATATATTTTATATATTTATTTGTTTGTTTGACATGTTTATTTTTCACATCCCATGTGAGGCTCCTGCCTGGGCCCCCCTTCAGCCTTTCCCCAGTGCTCTCAGCCTGCAGGGA